GCTGGCTGGCGGCTCCCTGTGAGCTCAAGGCTGGATGTGCGCGCGCGTGTGTGTCAGGGGTGCCTCGGGGTTCCCCGCCAGATGAGAAAGTCTCCCCGGCCTCCTGGAGATGGGCAGCCCCGTACACTTGGGCCAGGAACTTTCTCACTGGCTCTTGGGCATCGTAGGCAACTGGAGCGCCTCTGCGATCAGCCTGTCCACCTTCTGCACCCTGTGCGGAAGGGATCCCCCAGGCGGATGCCCAGAGAACTTGGGGGCGAGAGTGCAGTCCAGCAGGGCTGCAGACACATGGCTTCGGTTCAGCCTGAGGTGGGACTGGGGTAGGTGAGTGAGCCATGTCCCAGAGAATCAGGTTCAACCAGAGGCAGATTTATCTCGAAGCTAATGAAGTTCTGGGTCCTCAAGGTTTCTGGTGGTAATTTGGCATTAGTAATCCCATGTTCCTTTTCTTAAAGTATCTCCACCCCAAACCGCAGCAAGCTTTGATCCTCACAAAATCTGGATCCACTCCAGATCTAACTAACAGCAGTCCTGCTGCCAGTCTCTTGGGAGAACTCACAGCTCTGGGGGCCTGGGAATCATTCCCGGTGTTGGGGGGGATTCCCTGGAGAGTGAAGTGGTGGGGCTGGGGGCTGAGAAATTTGGCCTTGGGGGAGGTGGTTGGACCAAAGGGAAAGGGTCTGACTATTCTGCCTTCCTTTCTAGTGCTGCTTGTCCCTTGTCTCACCCTACCACCTGCCCTGTGATGACCAATTGTCTTGGTTTTAGCACTGAAAGTCCTGCAGCCTAGGAAACCTCTCAGACTCATGGTTGATGTTCAGGGGTGGATTGGCTTTCCTCAAGGGGTCCAGCAGACTGGTTTTCAAGGGTGCAGTTTGGTTTGGACCTCTGCAAGGCCTAACAATTTATGACTGCAGCCTCTCAGAAAGCCTGGCTGGGTTCTTTATAAACGAAGAGGGAAAATTTGTGACTGTGCACTTCACCACTCTGGCTGGTTGCAAATTCCTGTGTACCCACTGCTTTTGTGTAGCAGGGGGCAGGGCAGGCCAGGCCATCTGAACTTGGCCAGCTGGCATCCTGGCTGTACTGCGAAGGTGGTAGGTTCACTCTACCCTGTGAACTGTGGAGGCCACAGGAAGAGGCCCTTGTCACCCTGAATTCCTCCCTGAGTGTCACCCCTGAGGCCAGCCTGTAACCCCATCTTGTAGACAGACAGCTGTACTGTGTTGAGATCAGAGCCCTCAGGCTGAGGCACCTCAGAGCTACTGTGAAGAAAAGTTCTGGAATATCTAGTCTGCCCAGGCCCTCAGGCACTGAGCCCAGCAACCCTCTACTCCCAATGCAGGAACCCTTCTCAGGACTTTCCTGCCAGGCGTATATATACTGCTGGGACCTGCCTGGAAATTTGTAAAGCATCCAGTAGTACCCCTTTTCTCCATGAAGTAACCTTGAGGATTGATCACCTGGTTTCCCTTTGCTGTCCCCAGAGGCATTTTAAGGACATTTTGAGCACTCTTGGCATGTAGAAGTTGAGAGAACATGCTCATCACCTGTGGAATGTGTTGAGTTAAAAACTGCCTCTTCTGGCCCCAGGAGATCTGAGGATTCCACTTTGTTGTTGTGAACCTGTCCCTGGGCCTGGACTGGGTTGAGGGGTGGGGGATGGGGGGTGAAGGGTGGGTG